TCTGATTTCTTCTCAGCTATGTTTTTGTCTTTTGTTAAGTGTGCACATACTTTTGAAACAAAGAAAAAAATTTCATCCAAAATTTTTTTCGAAAGTGAAGCGATATTATCTGCTTTGCTTCCATTGATAGGTTATCGACTACGAGAAATCGATTGAGAAGGATTTCATAGCACGAAACCTCATGGTTCCCTTTCAAACGTGAATTTTGAGGGTGTGCACATACTTTTGAAACGCACTGTATTACTTCGAAACAATACTCAGATGGCTATGTTTTTTTTGGAATTACACGAATTTCCGACCTTAAAACGGATTTTGAAGATTTTAGACGAATATTTTTTGAACAGTGTCAAGTTATAAACCATAATGAGAAGTGAAATAAAATATTGTTGATGAATTGTGTTTTTACACTGTTCACACCTCCTTCAGGTTCGTCGAATTTGAAATGTTAATACATATACTAGTACTGTGAATTAGAAGGTTGCTCTACTAAATAAATGGTCGATGGAGTGACTTGATTCGTTCAGTAGTGCTAAAGGCGGTTACTTTGAGGATTTTTGCATGAATAATGACTAATCGTAAGACATTGAAGAAGCGCGAGTTCTACATTTTTCAAAGCCATGAAAACCTTCAAATTCGCCGAAACTAAAAAGTTAAGATAGTATTACAAACTAGAAGATTTATCCTGTTTCACAGACGTTTAAATGTCTCGTCTCGTTTTGTATGTCGAAAATGGCTCCGTTAGAGATTTTTGCCCGAGCACCGCCAAAAGGTTCTCCTTCGCTCAGCTGTCACTCCACTCTTTCAACTTCTATAGCTACTTTCAGAAAGGATCTCGTAGAAAAATGAAAGCAGATTCGGAGCTTACAGGATTTTATTTCCGAACAAGTGTAAAAGTGGATAGTAACTTCAACTTTATATGTTAAAAAATTTGGCACTGAACGCATTGCTTCTTGAGTAGCGGATTCCTCCCTGCCATTTTACACGGGCCCTTTCACAATTGATTGATTTTTCATGATTTTTTTTATCAGGTAGTCGTACATGAAGGGCGCGCAATAGATTGAGCCCACTAACGCGTCGTGTGCATCCTTTCAAATTCGTGGACTCACATGGAGGATAAGATATCCGTCGGGAAACGTGTTTATTCCGAATTTTTTTACTTTGTCGTAATGGATCACAGGGGCAACCCAGAAGTTCGCGGAGTCCTTTGAACCGTGAAAATTTTTATGTGTGCGAAATACCATTGAAAATCATTGCCCTGACCTTGTCATTGAAAGTCTTCCGGCCCAGCTTCACGACATCGATCTCTCCATGATGTTGTTTTTTTCCGGCCCTTTCCTCCCAGCGGGCCAAATGCGCCCCGCTTCAACCCTGCCCATCTGTCGAGAGTGCCGCAACGCATGCTTGACCCTGGGGTCTATCACAATGTCATGATTCCAAGCTCCTATCGATAAAATGTGGACATTCAGAATTTTTTGAATCTCTCCGCACAGTTTCCGCCAAAATGGTTTTTATTGCATTGAATGGCTATCCCTGAATAGCGATCACAAAAAAAACAGCTGGATATTGATATTATTGTTATTGGTCCCTCGCTACTTAAAGAGCGATAACCACTGAATCATTCGTTCATATAGTATGCGGCTACATATTTGGCTGCTGACCCTCACCGGCCTCTTTGCCGCTTCGTCATCCTTGGAGGCATCACCACGTGAAGCAATTGCGGACACATCAGCCAGGAATAATCCGAATCCATCCCATAGAGAACTGTCTAGCGATGGTAAGTGTGTAGCAGCTTCATCCCAGTTACAATCATGAAGTAGCAGAATTGCTGAAGCTCCCAAAATTTATCCTTCAGTGTCAAATCGAGCAGTTGGAAGCGGTTATGGGAAAAGAACCGCTGGTACAAGGGAGCCGGTGAATCAAGCGATTGAAGGTGAAGCAGACGTTGATGGTAGTGTCACCCTACATTAATTCATAGTTAGCTGAATAAAAAAAGATCTTCCTATCAGGGAAAAGGACGTGCGCGAAATGGCGGTGAAGCTTTGTTGTGAGCTGAGGTGAATGTAAACTTGCTATTACGCTTGGGTTAACACATTGACGACATTGAGACGCGGTAACGCGTCTCACTTTGCGCACCTCGTTGGACATTGAGACGCGGTTGCGCGTCTCACCCTTGTCATCCCTTTTTCTAGCGTATGCGGGGATTCTTCCCAATTTGCTTGCCTCTATTCTATGGATTACAACATAACATAACTGTAAACGACATGGGTCACGGTATGATCAAATATGCTCCAGTTTAGCAGAAGTTTTTTAAGCACAGCGGAATTCATCCCTCGTTTTCTTCCTATTCTGATGAACATGTCAGTGAGAAAAGGTAGTGAAAGTAAATACAAACTTAG